ATACAGGTGATGGGGAGGAAGGCAGCAAATCACACTGTCATGTGTGTGCAACAATCTTGCATGTTCTTCACATGTACCCCAAAACCTAAAATGCAATTTAAAAAAAAGTATCTAATAACCTTCACTTAGCTGTGGCTGATAGATTTGATTTTATTGGTTGTTTTGCACTCCTGATTCATCTTTAGTGGGTAATAGCATGGAGCAGCATAAATGCCTCTGTTCTCAGGCTCTGTCAGGAAGGTTGAAAGCCTCTGTATTTGATTTCTTAAAAATGGCACAGAGGACTTGGTTTGCTCTTTACATGTAGAAATTTTGGAAAGTATTAGACTGCAGCGTGGCAGGCATTTTAAAGGTGGACAGAGCCCTTAACATATGTTTCTTTTCTTCCCTAACTTTGTTAAATGAACTCCGAGGGAAAAATAAATGGGTCATTCATTTCTTTCCCATGTAAGTTGAGTCTTTGGTCCCTGGCGGACACTGAGAAGACACGGTACCTGGTGTCTCTCTGATGTGTCCTAGTGTCTCGTGTCTAGTGTCTTGGGTGAGAGGAGCCAAGTGTGCAGCTCCTTGCTGGCCCTGAGGTGGCCATGGAGTTATGAACAGTCCGAGACTTCACTTCAGATTTCCTCTGCTTATTATAGAAACTAAAGCCACACTGGAGGCAGCCGTATTAAGTCAGCATCTGTAAAGAGGATGCAGGACTTGGCGCTTCCAGGACTGTGGGGTTAGTGAGGGTGACCAAGCGCCATGGTGCAGGGCAGAGTGGGTACCCTTACTTTCCTGAAGTGAGACACGTTCTTGCTAGGATAGAATGTGACGGAATCCTGGGCCCAGCTTTCAGCACCTGTTCAGAGAGGCTGGGCGGGCAAAGCCCCCTGCTGTGGCCATCCGGGCAAAGCCTCCTGCTGAGACCTCGGGAGCTCACTGGGACAGGGGTCTGTGCCTTGAGTTTGGGAAGTGGGGTGCAGCTGTCACCAGAGGGTGAGATGTCAGTGCACGTCTGCGTCCAGCTGATCCCATAACAGGACAGTGGCCTGGGTGGCACCACCCCCTGCACCCCTAGTCAGTGGGGCGGCACCGGCAGGCCCCAGAACCTGGAGCCTGAGGCTGAGTCCTACCTGGGTTGCAGCCCCTCCTGTGCTCCCGGGAGCCTCCTCGGTTGGTCCCATCAGGCTGAAGGTATGCTTGGAGCCCGGCTGCAGGAGCTGTGCTTCTGCCGGACCTGAAACTGCCAAATGCCTGAGCAGGGCTGGAGAAAGGACGAGACCCGCCCTGGGACCTAGAGGGAAGTTTCCCTGCTGGCAGGCAAGTCCTCCTCTGAGCCAGTGAGTCTTGCCCCTTGGCACCAGGCTTTATAGGTCCCTCCGCCTGCTCCTCTCTGACTGGGTTCTGGGAGACCTCCTCCTCGGAAGGCTAGCATTAACCATTTTTTTGCTGGCCCTTTTTCTCCCACACTTTGGCAATCTGCTCAGTTCCACTAGACATGTTTTTATGGAAGTTTCTGGTTTAATTGCTTTTCTTCACCCCTGGATAACTTTTCTTTTCTTTAAGTTTGAAGGCATTATACTAGCTATTATGTGACCTTTAGGTAATAACCTGTCATCCTGAGTTGAAACAAGGAATATTCTTGTTTTTGCAACTGACTGGCTTCAAATATGAAATTTCATAATAGCTTAGTAGCATGTAGATGATACATAGAGAATTTAACTTAGGAATTTCAGACATTTGCAGAAAGAAATGTCAACCCAAGAAATAGCAGGCATTTCTGACATGTAAATTAGGAATCCAAGTACTGGTTGAGTATCTGGAAGTCTGAAATCCTGAGTGCCCCGCAATCCAGCACCGTTGGAGTGCCATGACGTCACAAGCGGAAACTTCCACACCTGACCTCGTGTGGCAGGTTGCAGTCCAGGCACGGTTAAAAGTTTGTTTTATGCATGAAATTATTTCACGTATTTTATAAAGTTACTTTCAGGCAGTATTGTACAAGGTGTGTATGAAACACAAATGAATTTTGTATTTAGCTTTGGTTCTCATCCCCAAGGTATCTTATTCTCTACCTGCAGATGTTCCAAAATCTGAAAAATTTTGAAATTCCAAACTCTTCTGGTCCCAAGCATTCAGATAGGGGCCCTCAGCGCATAGTTTTCTAAGCATTGGTTGAGCCTCAGGCCTCAGCACCTGCCCTCGCTTCAGAAGCCTCCAAACTTACCTGCCTTCCAGCTGATAAAGCCACCAGGGCCACCTCCCTTGCTCATGGATTTCACCTCCTAGTGCGCGCTGGAGAATAAACCTCCCTCCCGGATTCCCAGGGCCTCCGAACAGCCTCATGCCACCTCCGAGTGCCCCACCTGCTGGCCATTCAAATTTTACCCACCTCTTGGAGAACTGTGGTCTGCTGCCCTGGTGAGGGCAGAGAGGCCCCGCACCCCACCCTGCATCCCTCGTGGGCTGGTCAGGCTAGGGGGTCCTCAGGCACTGCCAGCCCTGGCTGAGGGGTGGGTCTTCCTCAGAACTGAACTGCAGCGAATTGCACTCCAACTTCTGTGTGCCATTTCCCTCTGTAATTTTCTGAAGTGGTGAGATTGAATACTGAGTGATCCTTTGTCCACTGAATGTGAATAATGTGGGTTGCTGCAGCCTGAGGCGCGGGTATAGAGGCCCGCGTGGGTTCCCCGACCCAGGAGAGCTGGTGCAGGCGGAGGAGGTGGGGTGCAGGGCCTCAGGTACATTTGACCCCTCAGCGGCCTTCCAGGGAGGCCAATTCAAAGTCTTTCAGAGCACATTTGAGGAAATATACAATATTTCCTAAACTGAATGATGTGTTACATTTTTAATGGAAAAATACCAACATGGGTTTCTTCCAGCGGTGGCAGTTTGATGACTCTTAATATGTACATTTTTTTATTTGGATGATGAAGAGCTGATTTGCTCTTAGACTATTTTTTTGACCAGCTGTGGAGTCGAGATGATTTCAGCATTAAAAATGCCTGAGACACCATTTTGAAATATGTGAGTCATGAGAAAGTACAGAAATAAATAAATAAAATAAAAACCCAAATCTCGAAATAGCTGAGACATGTCACTTAAAAATAGCTGCTCCCTGCTAGTGCAGACCCAAGGCTTCTGGTCTCTCTGCCGGTCCCAGCAGCTGAGGAAGAGCTCAGCTCCCAAGCTCTCCACTCACACACCCTGAGTTTCCTGGAGAACCTGCCCGGAGTGGCTGATGCACCTGGATTTCATGCTTTCAGGATAGAATGAGCCAGGTTAGGGCCTCTGGGTCTTGGAGCCCAGCCTTCTCCTGTAAGCACTGGGTGGGTGAGTAACTTGCTGGCCATCAAACAGCTACTAGTATAAGGGATCGGCCTCGACTGCAGGAACTCCAGTTAAGACCTACTTAATACTTCATGGGTGACAGGATGGGAGGAATCTCATGGACTGTTTGGAAGACATAGAGACCTTTTGCCAATTTTTAAATCTACTTTTGTTTTTTGAAACAGGGTTTTGCTCTGTTGCCCAGGCCAGAGTGTGGTGACCTGATCTTCTCCGCTCACTGCAGCCTCCACCTCCCAGGCTCAAGCCATCCTCCCACCTCGGCCCCTGAGTAGCTGGGACTGCAGATGTGAGCCACCACTCCCGGCTAATTTTATTTATTTATTATTATTATTTTTTATAGAGATAAGGTCTCACTGTATTCCCAAGGCTGGTCTCGAACTCCTGGGCTCAAATGATCCTCCTGCCTCAGCCTCCTACAGTGTAGAATGTGACACTGAGTGTGTGCGTCCTGGGTGCTGGGCACTGTACCTGGGGCTCTGCGTGCATGGTCTCAGGTAGCCCTCCCCAGAGCCTATGAGGCAGGGCTGTCCTCCTCCCTGTCTCACAGATGCAGAAACTGACTGTATGGGGGCTGTGTAACCGAAGCTGGCCAGGGGCAGGTCTGGGAGTGGCTGGCCGACTCCAAGTGCATGGTCTCCAGCCAACACCAGAGGCATCCTGGGTCAACAGTCATCTTGTCAGGTACAGATTCTCTTGTTGGATTTGATGTCTTTATGAATTTTTAATAGGTGAACATATTTTGTTGTTCATCCCCGGGATGGAATAGAAGGAAAGAACTTCAACAGGGAATTTTATCTGATCATTGCTGATTGAGTTAAACGTGCACAAGGCCAAATACTGGATAACGCACAGAGAAAAAGACGCACAAAGTAAGGCAGTGAGTGCATCTCGGCTTCAGGATCCCCGCCTGAGGGAACACCCGTGCAGGAACGCTTGGCCCTCACCTTGCACCCTCAGCCCTCGCTCACAAAGCCCAGTCCTGGTGCTGAGAGGCCCCAGACGCAGGCCTGCAGTGCCTTCTGGTGCCCCTACTCTGCCTTGCTGACTGACTGAGTGCCCCCCTCCTGCAGTGCCTTCGGCGCCCCCCCACTCTGCCCCAATGACTGAGCCCCCCACCTCCTGTGGTGCTTTCCAGTGCCCCCCACTCTGCCCTGCTGACTGATTGCCCCCCCTGCACTGACTGAATGCCCCCACTCTGCCCCGCTGACTGACTGAGCCCCCCACCTCCTTCGGTGCCTTCCAGCGCCACCCACTCTGCCCCTGTGACTGAGCCCCTACCTCCTGTGGTGCCTTCCATTGCCCCCCACTCTGTCCCACTGACTGACTGAGCATCCCCCTCTTGCAGTGCCTTCTGGCACCCCCCACTCTGCCACGCCAACTGACTGAGTGCCCTCCTCCTCCTCCTTATCCTATGCCCAGTCCTCTGTGGCTTTCGAGGTAGGCAGCAGTGCAGGTCCCCTGATTCTGTAGGAGCAAGTTCTGTCCAAACATCCCTGGTCTTCAGGTTGCCAGCTCTGGCCTGGGTTCCTCTTCCTTACCCCAGGTTCAACAGCTGTGTGACACCAGGCAACGTCTCTAACCTTCCTGAGCCTCAGTGCCCATCTTTACAGTGGGGATGCAGACGGTTCTGTGAGACACCACACACCCTTTGTCTCTGCTGGCAGAGTGACACGTCCCTTCCTGTCATCTGTGGCTGCACCTCGGGCAGGGCTGTCTTCCAGTGCTTTCCCTTACCGACAGAATTGACTGCACTCAGAGACCATCTAGTCCACCAGCCCTGCTGCATGACTCCAGCACTGAAGGTGCGTGTAGCTGCTAGCCCAAGGGGCGTTGACGGTTTTGTGGGTCTCCCAGTGGGGCCACCTCAGTAGTCATTGGGATCACTCTGGGCGCGTCCTTGGGTTCTCTGGAAGCATTGTGCCAAGGACAGCTCACAGAAGAGTGGGCAGGGTGGTGCTGGTCGAGCTTGGCCTGCAGGGGGGCCATCCACCCCCAGGAACATATGGCGGAATGTTCCAGAAGGAGAGACCAGCACCTGCACCTTGTTCCTGCCCCACCTCATTCAGTACCAGGCAGTTCCTCAGGAGCCTAGGGAGGCTCCTCCCACCCCACCCTAGTCTGATTTTATCTGTTTAAACTTAAGACTTCATGAGCCCTTTCTTGGGATAAATGCAAATGACTCATTCTTTCATGCTCCCAGGAGCTTCCTTCGTTTTCTGCGGGTGGTGGCTCCTCTCCTTGGCGTTAACATGGAACCCTGCCCGTTCTCTGTGTCCAGATGGTTACAGGATGGGGCAGTGGCGGGAGTTGGACCCAGGACCAGGATCATGCAGCACCTACCCAGCCCCCCAGGGTCACCCAGGGGCCATGATATGCTCTGTGGGTGCCTACCCTAGGAGTCGTGATGCTCTCTGGGACTCCCACCCCAGGGGCTGTGATGCACTCTGAGGATGTCCACCCTGGGGCTGTGACGTGTTCTGGGGACACCCACCCTGGCGATTGTGATGCATTCTGGGGGTGCCCACCCTGGGGTCCATGAGACACTGGGGACTCCCTCCCCAGGGGCTGTGATGTACTCTGGGGGTACCCACCCTGGGGTCTGTGATATGCTTGGGGATGCCCTCCCTGGGGGTAATAATGTGCTCTGGGGGTACCCACCCGGTGGGCTGTCATATTCTTGGGGGTACTCATCCTGGGGTCAGTGATAGGCGTGGGGACGCCCCCCTGGGGGCCGTGATGTACTCTGGGGTCCTCTGAGGCCCCAGCACTCAGGCCCCCCATTCCCTGGCTCTCATCAGGAGAGGCCGTATTAAATGTTTCACCTGTTGGCACCCTTAAAAGCTTTTGTTTAAAGAAAGGGTCCCGCTGCTATAAGGAAACTATGTGAGAACCACTCATTTGCATTTCTGTGATTGGATTTCTAAAACAATTCATTCAGCCAAGATACTCAGAAATCGGTTCGGTCATTCTCCAGCCCCTCAGTGCCTCTCCTGCCCTTCCATAGGGCCAACCATTTCCCAAGGAGCCCTGGGCACTCGTGGACGGATGCTCATCACTTCATTTGGTTGTGAAACTAATGAGCCTTGGCATGTCATCGGTGTATTTATAAATGAATGTCTGTGCTCCCTCTGCCTATGAGTCACCTCAGGGAACTGCTCTCCTGCCATAACCAGGAAAACTGGATGTAATACAGGAACCGGCCTCTTTCAGACAGTGAGCAGTGCAAGCTTTGATCTCTGAGGTGAGGGAAACCAGCCAGGCCAGGACTCCCACCCTGTCCACCGCAGTCTTTGGTTTACAGCCCAGGTCGGGGGGTTCTGAGCCGACCAATATGACCGGCTAGGTTGCAGGGACAGAAGCTGGATTTCCGGGAGGTCGAGGGAGCTGGGACTGTCAGGATTTGGGACTAAAAGGTGAGAGGCACCACGATGAGAAGGAGCCCCGCACCTGGGATGGCAGTCTGCTGGCGTCGTGAGCTGAGTCCATGGAGGCAGTGTGTGGAGGTTCCCAAGCCCAGCTTCAGAGCAGCTGACGGTGAGCCAGGCTTATACAGAGCTGCCCTAGTTCCAGCTCCCCAGATAGTGTGGATGATTCCAGGGAGGACTCGCCTTAAGTGTTAAGGCGAAGCCAGCCCCTGAGGCTAGGCGACCGTGGATTCTCAGTAACGGAGCTCCAGAGACAGCCCTCAAGAGTCCTCCTCTGCAGGGAGAGAGCTGCCTGCCAAAGCAAAGCCTATGCTCTCTAAAGGAGGGCGTGCAGTTCAGATGCCTGGGGAAATGTGCACCACTTGGCACTTTGTCATAATCACAGTAAGGTGAGGAATTAGCCTCACCTGGAGGCTCATGAAACCTCAGCCCTCTTCCTGTTTCTCCTGCCTGTCTGGGTCATTCCAGGAGAATGGACCTGTCTCCCTTCCAGATTCTCCCAGCCCTGTCGTTGACTTCTCTGCTGAGCCCATTGTGGTCATGTATTGAGCAGACCTGCACTTGCCCGTGGGCCATATCGAGGGTTTATGGATATGAGTAAGGAAGGGGAGAAGTGAGAGGAGGGTTCCTCTGAAAGCCTGTACCATTTTAATCTTATGTCATAGGAGCTCCTTAACCTAGAGGCCCCAGATCCTTGTTCTGAAGAAATATGGCAAATACATAAAAAGGGAAAAGGTCAACTCACAAAAGATGCGCTTTTGTTCTTTAGTTTGCAAACGAACATCAAAACAGTCCTTAAGGTTGGATTTGTGAGAGGGGGAGGTTTCATGAAGCCGGGTGGGGGCAGGCGTCCTCCCCTCACACTACTCTTTCCTGTGTTCAGCCAAGAAAATCTCAGCTTAAACTCAGCAGGGATGATAATGTACATTTTGGAATAAGATGAACTACTGTATGTTCTATTTTTATATTTCATATGTTACTAGCTTTTCTGCAAACAATGTCAGAAAAGATGGAGATTTTATTTTTTTTACTTTATTTATTTATTTATACATACATGCATTCATACATACATACTATGTCACCCAGGCTGGAGTGCAGTGGTGCAGTCATAGCTCACTGCAGCCTCGACATCCCAGGCTCCAGCAATCCTCCCACCTCAGCCTCCTGAGTAGCTGGGGCTACAGGCATGTGCCACCATGTTTGACTGTTTTGTGTTTTTTGTGGAGATGGAGTCTCTGGTGGCAAGGTTGCCTTTGTGTTTGCAGTTGGCTTTTGGGCCCAGAGAGACAGTGTGGAAGCCTGACCAGCCCTGTGCTCTCATAGGGAGCTCTTGCGCTCCTCAGACGATACTGGGAACTTGGCTGCCACACCCACGCCTGGACCTTGCGGCCTCCTGCCCCTGAGGGCAGCCACTTCCTGGCAGCTGTCCTGTGTGTCCCTGGAGCCAGCACTGTTACCAGTTGTGCCGACAGTCGCAGACCTCTGCAGGCCCATACCCTGTCACTGAAATAGTTTCCATGCAAATATTCCCTCTTTCCTTTTAAATTTTCACTACAGTAGTCGACGAGGCTGAGAGACAGTGGTGCTGTGTATTGAGAGGATGTTAAAGGCAGTAACTCTGGAGACAGAACTTTAGTGGATGCTGGGAGGCAGGCCTGCCCCATAGCCGACCTGCCTTCTCCACAGGCGTCACTGTGGCTCCAGGAGGGGCCCCAGCCTGGATGGGCTCCCCACATGAGGGCACATGTGTGTGCTAAAGCATAGCCTTGGTGGCGGGCCAGGCCGGCAGATGCGCATGGTTGACCACAGACCATAAACAACCAGCTCAGACTAGAGAGCAAGAACGAGTGTCCAGCGCTCTTCCTGGCATGTGGCAACTTGAACAGTGTGCCCCCAGACTTCGATGTGTGTTTGGAGACATCGTGTTCATCACTTACATAGGCTGCCGCACATGCAGATTGGCCGCCGGCGTCCGCAGGAACCTTGCCATGCCTGTGCCCGTGTGCATCCGTCTCACTTCACGCTCTTCTAGCTGTCACACGCTGGGAAGAGCGCCGGACACTCACTCTTGCTGTCTGTGTCTGAGCTGGTGCTTGCAGTCTGCGGTCACACCATGTGCATCAGCTGGCCTGGCCCATGAGCAAGGCTGTGCTTCAGCACACACGTGTGGCCTCACACCTACAGACCACTGTGCAGCTGCCCGTGGAGACGGAGGCACAGAGTGCAGGCACAAGATGGATGCAGGCAGGCGCAGTCATGGCAAGGCACCTGCGGGATGCCTTGGGTCCTTGACTGCATCTGGGTCAATCTGAGTCGTGAAGCCCTCTGTTCTGGAAGCAGCAGGCATCCCGGCCACCTCTTCAACCCCATTCACTTCATTTTTAAGTTGGGTTGGAGCAGCCCCTGCTCTGGGTAGCTCAGGCTGGCCAGATGGCCCGTGAGGTGTATGCTCTTGAGCCTCATGGACACCGTGCCCACGGGTCCCACGTGGCGTGCCTCACAGTGTTCACACACAAGCCTCTTGCCCCTGCCACCCTCTCTCAGGCCTGCAGGGCGCTGTGGAGCCACGCATTGTGTACGAGTGCTCTGGCCCCCTCGCCGTGAGGGAACATCAGCCTGCACTCGGTGGTGATAAGTAGCTCCCATGAGTGGCATGGAATTAAGAACAGTGGCCAAACTGAGAGGAAGTGGTTTGGAATGTTTGTTTAATTCAGGCAAATTGGAAAAAGATCTTTTCAACATGGACTGCAAGTCTGAAGTACGAGTAAGGCTGTCCAGATGTCCCATCCCGCAGCCATCAGCTGCAGACCTTCGTGTGGGAGTGTGTGCTCCTGCGGCATGGTGTTTGTGGATGTCGCTGTCAGGTGCTGTCCCTGCTTGTAGGGTCCACCCTGGTCTCCCATGTGGTTATAGCCAGGCCTGGCCACCCAGTGGGTGGGGGATGGAGGCAGACACACAACTGAACTTGGCCATAAGAGCACAGTCTGGAGCTGAGGTGAAGGCCGCTGCCTGCTTTCTGCTTATTACTGCGCTTTTCTTGTGGACAGGAGGGAGCCCTGTACAGACAGAAGGAAGCCATGGCTTTCAGAGGCCTCCCTGTCCCTCCCCGAGGCCATGCCTCGTCTGGGTCAGGGGCTCCCGGGTTCCTAAGCAGGGTTGGCTCTGGCTCTACAGCCTGCCTGCTGTGTGTGGGATGAGGCCAGTGCTCCTGGTGCCCAGCTACCTAATGTGCATGTGTGACCTGAGCGCCGGGTCTCACCTTCCCCGTCCACCTGATGGGTGCCGCACAGGCTCTCTGGCTGCCCCTTGCTCTGGGCTGCCCCCTTACTGCCGTGCCCAACTAAAGCTGGTGTGTTGGTACTTAGGTTTTGTTGTGG